AGAGAAAAAACATGCACAGAGAAAGCCGGACTAACTGAAAGATCTGATCAACACAGAGACAGGCAAATTTCCAGCAACTGGACATCTGCAGAGTCTCCCGCAATGTTCAGCTGCAAGTTCCAGTGAGGGGCAGGCACACGGGTCTTTGAGACCAGTATTGCCATCCCCACTCCAGTAAGGAAAAGATCCCCAAAGTCAACGGCTAGAAATGTGGGAGGCATGCAAAGCCACCAAGCGCTGTTCTAGAGCAAGCAAAACATTTGAGTCCTAGAAAGTGGTGGCACAAATATTAGAAGCTAAGCAGGAAAGGGCTAGTTGTTTTGTACCAGTGTGTGGCAAGAGCTGGTCATGAAAACAGAGGAAACTATAACTATTCTGGACCCTACAGCCTCTTACTGTTGATAGAGGTTGTGGAAACCGTCCTTATTTTGTGCTTATGTTTAAAATCCACCCAATCTAAAATACTGATCCTCTCCACAGGCTCTCAGGTGACAGTCTTCAGAAGTGTTTCCTGTAATCTGGGCAAAAGTATCAGAGAAGAGCCCAAGCTTCACCCATAGTCCTGTAAAGGCAATGTCTGAAACTAGAATGCATCTGGATCATCAGGACTGACAACATGAAAGCAGGGCTGAGAACCTCCTCTACTCCTGAACCTTCAGCCAAATGAAAGAAAGAAGTCTTTGCCAAAGATACCTGGCAGAAGCCCTGTTTGTGATTATTGTTTTCATTGTTCACACATCACAGACCCCCTACTTGCTAAATGAGAAACAGGGAAAACAGGAGCACCAGCCACTCTCAGCACCAAAGTCAATCCCTGTTTTCAGGGAACACAAAGGGAAGTTGCACCAAGTACCCAAAGCGAATGTTCAGCTTTGGCAAGTTCAGGTACTCCAGAGAAAAACTTACCAGGTCAAACCGCTTGGCAAGTTCCAGGTCATCTTCATTTCTGACCATCTCAAAGAAATCTAAGTGCCTAAGAGAAAACAAAAAACCAAAACAAACAAAACCTGCGAGTGTTCGTGGCATAATTCTGATTTAAACTAAGCATGTGACTGTAGAAGCAGCAATTCCTCATTTCCAGCTAGAACACTTGGAAATTGGCAAGCCTTTCCCACATGAAGTGCAGGAATAGGTATGCAAGGCAACTCATTGGGGGTCAGTGACAGGTCAAAAAGATTGGCTGGCTGAGGTAGACATGCTCCTTAATCCTTGTGCTAAGTCACTGTGTTGAGGTAAGGCTGCTAAAAATAAACAAAATAAGAAAGCTATATTCTATTTGTGATAAATGCAATGTCTGCAGTGATAATACAATTCTAAAAAATCCATGCCATACTTCTTAACCAGATATAAGACCATTAACAAGTTGTTTCCTTTACTCAGTGGAGCAGAGATGCATTCTGTGGATTAGTTAAACAGCACAGCTCACAGCTGTCTTTACATTTGCCTATTGATGAGCACAGCAGCATGCCTCTGTTGGGATCTGGGGACCTGGTGAGAGACACATTTGACCATGACACATCTGGACTTCTCTTGCATGGAGACCAGAGCACAGCAGATGATGTGGAGAAAGGCTGTTGCACATTCCCCTGTATAGACCAGGCATATAGTCTATGTAATCCTCTCAAACCTCTGTTATCATTCTCATCACTGTAACTTGTAAAATCCAAAAGTGCCCCTAAGCCTCTCCTAAATACTCCTGATTACTGACCAAAGCAACAGGGATTGCCTATAGGACAGATTCTCTTCTTGGTTATAATGTTGTAAATCAAAAGTAACATTAGTGGTTCCAGATCCACAGCAAAACGTAGAAACATACAACTGCATGCAGTCTTTTCCTGTGACGTTAATACATGGGCATATGCCTCCACCTGCTCAAAGATGTGAGGCCACTCTTTACTACAGGCAGCTGGTGCTAACCTGATGCTTATGCAGAATCTCAGGCACATTACATTTGCCCTCAGGGATAGCTCCATCACCCTATAGCAGCTCCTGACAGCGGAAGTTTGAGAAAACAGTGCCTTGAAATCTGCAGGCGTAGGCCTGATCCATAGGTTTTTCACTATGTGCTTTGGCAAACTTGACACTTCTATCTCTGAAATCCCAGATACCAGATACCTACAAATCAGCCCTGCTCTGTAGGAAGCTGCTTGGAGTAGCAGACAATAAGGCATAGCAGCATATAAGCAGGTCAGTGCCTCTTCGCAAAGTTTAATGTGGTTGCAGGAGAAGGCAGACTCCTACAGCTGCCTGCTTTTACACCTCAAAATGCTTCATTTTGTAAAGCAAATGGATTTTACTAGGGTCCTTATTGGTTCATCAGTCTTTTAGCTTCTTGAAGTGTCTCAGTCAAATTGTTCAGATTGTTTACTCCAAGTTTATTTCAGCATGTGGCTTTCTGAAGGGTTTAATTTAAGGTCAGCAGCAGCTTCAATTACTGTGGCAAAATATGGAATTGCTAGTGGAGAAAACATTTATTATCCATATAACTTTTAACGCAGTAATGTGAAGGTGCCATCCAGTGTCACATTTTGTGCAGTGCCAGGGCTGTTTGAAGATGCTCCTCATTCTTTTCTCTTGCCCCCTTGGTATTTCTACCCCTTTGCCCACCACAGATGCTTCTTCTCTGATAATTGTGCCAGTACCACTGTTTGGGAGGGTGTGGTACAAGCTAGATCACAAAAAAGACTGATCTTAAAGAAGAACCTTGGAAACTCGGAACCTGCGCTTTGACCACACACACTCAGTCTCAATGAAGTCAATGAACTACTGGCTTCCCTCCTTCCTACCAGGACAGGCTTTTGTTCCAGTTT